TTTACTGGGAATACAAAAGAATCCGAAACACTGACATTTGCTTCTTCAAAGTCTCATATATTTATTTTCACAAGACGTGAAATATTTAGGTTACTTTGCTTTCACCACCAAGATCCATCAGCCATTTGAAAGAAACAGTTAAGAGAAGACATCAGACTTCCAACTACAATGGAGCTTAGAATGTGATGACGCTAAGGTCCAAACTCATTCAATATCCTTTGGCCCATCTCTACATCAAATCTCAGAACAGTTGCCATCGAGTCCATTCCGACTTGTAGTGACCCTATAGGACAAAGTAGAACTACCTTATAGGGTTTCCAAAGCTGTAATCTTTACAGAAGCAGACTGTCACATCTTTCTCCACAGATCTTTAAGTTAGCAGCTCAGCAGCTGAGCTCTTTAACCACTGTGCCACCAGGGCTCCATGTCTCAGAACGGCCACTAAAAAAGTCTTTGTGAAAACAGAGTTCTGTTGTCTATGCTCCGACAAGCCAGGTAGGTTCACCCTAATTGAATGACCAGGCTGCTGAGGATGGCTAAAAGCAGCAGAAGTGCTTGCTCGGTGCCACTGAGTCAATTCTACTCATAGTGACCCCCTGTGACAGAGTAGAACTGCTCATAGAGTTTTTTCGGCTGTATCTTTATGGGAGCCAATCGTCAGGTCTTTCTCCCTTGAAGCAGCTAGGTGGGTTCAAACCTGCAACATTTTGGCTAGCATCCAAGCACTTTAACCATTATGCCATCAAAGCTCCTTAAATGCTGTATGTGTAAAACTGAGAGGCTAGGCTGTTTCAGAAAAGTGGAGGGGGGGGGGACAAAAAACAGTTGCTGTCAAGTTGATTCCGACTCATGGCAACCCCGTCAGAATAGAACTGTGCTCCACAGGGTTTTCAATGGCTGATTTCCCGGGAGGATTGCCAGGCCTTTCTTCTGAAGCACCCTGGGTGGACTCAAACTTCCAACCTTTCAGTTAGCAGCTGAGGGCATTAACCATTCGCACCATCCAGGGATTCCTTCAGGAGAGGGAAAGGGTCTCATAAAGAATGATGTGAAGACCACAAAACTGTGACACATTAGCAGACAGAGTACCATGGTGGCTCATCTAACAGTTAGAGGATAGCAAATAAAAGAAAGCATTCAATGATAGGTCTTGAGTGGCCATATAGGAAAAAAAATCAGTAAGCAAGGAAAAGTTAGACTGAGACAGAACTGACTTTTCCAGCAGAGGGTAGGGAATACTGTGCAGACTGCAGGAAACATAAGCCAAACAACAGCAAGACACTTAAAACTGAAGCTGGGACAATGTTCTGCAAGTAGTTTTTTTTTTAAAAAAAAATGGATTTGAAGACAGATAAAATCTGGGCAAATATCCACCAAATGTTAATATGGTCATCACTACGTGATAGGTAGGGATAACTTTCATATTTTTAGTTATTATTTATCTGTACCGTATTTTCAAAGTTTTCTATAATATACTACTTTTATTTTTAATGATGAGATTTTTTTTTTTAACAAAATGGATGAGATCAGCCATCCAAATGTACATATGCAACATTCTAAGACAGTGTCTGTAGATATGTAAACTTCCCCCATCAGTCTCAAGACACTCACAGATGAGACCTTACCTTACTGTTCCCTGGAACCCTAGTGTATAGAAAAACCAAAACCAAAACCACTACCATTGAGTCAATTACAACTCACGGTGACCCCATCTGTTACAGAGTTCTCTTGGCTGTAATCTTTACAGAAGCAGGTCACCAGGTCTTTCTTCCATGGAGATGCCAGGTGGGTTCGAACTGCCAACTTTTAGCTTAGCAGCTGATCGCAAACCACTTGTGCCAGACAGGGACCTTCCTAGTGTACAGGACAGAGCCTAAAATATAAGCTGCACGTATTAGGAAATGTTTAACCAATGAATTTTGGATGCTGCCAAAAACTCAACAAGGTGACTCTGATATAACATCAGACAGAAAAAGAAATGAAATGGCAGGGCTCTTCCACCAGTGCCTGGCTGGGACTTGTCTGGGCCGCCTCCGTTCTCAAATGATCCCCTTGACAGCTCTATGCCCATCATCCCAACAAACACATTAGCCCACACAACAGCTTAATGTCGCTTGCTATTAAAATCTTCCAGTAAGTCGTTGGACCTCCCTCGCCTAGCTCCCCCCCTTTTAGTATTGCTTATTGACTTGAGTCATGCTGTTTTGCCCCCATCTTGCTCTGAAGGAAGCTATAAGGAACATGACTATGATGCTCCCCCTTGCATTTCTTGCAAAGATCTCCAGTCCACTCTGACACTTGAAGAAAACCAATGCGAAAAATCTGTCTCAGATCTCAGTGCCATTAAAGTAACAACTTCTCAGAGCAAATAATACATTTTACTTTTAGGAGCACTGGGAGTCTTGTAATTGATCTTTTCTCTCTCTGCGTGAAGCTGAGAGTCAAATTTTCAGCTCTCCTTCAGTAACTTTATAGGCCTATATGCACATCTGTAAGCTAACTTTTTCTCTGGTTTCCTCTCAATATTTTTCCAAGTGACAAGACGACTCACTGAGTACTAGAGGTCCTTTCCTTTCTACTTTCTCCTCACCAACTCTAAAACACACACGATCACTTAGGTGAATGGTACAATATGACATAAGGCAGAAAAGCATAATGGTTAAGAGCCCAGACTCCGGAGCCAGACAACCTGGGTTCTAATTCTGCTCTCCTCTACTCCCCACCAGCTGCTGACCTTGGACAAGTTACTTAGCCTTCCTGTGCCCTGTCTTCATTTCTCCATCGTGCAAACTGTTAACGTGCTTGGCTGCTAACAGAAAAGTTATAGGTTCAAGTCCACCCAGAGACACCTCAGAAGAAAGTCTGGAGATCTACTTCCAAAACATCAGCCACTGAAAAACCTATAGAGCACAGTTCTCCTCTGATGCACAAGAGGTCGCTATTAGTTGGAGCTGATGCAACAACAACTGGAAAAAAAAGGCAACAATAATGGTATCAACCTCACAGTGTTGTTTTGAGGAGTAAATGAGTTAACGTAGGTAAAAATGGTTACATCGGGGCCTGGCATACAGTAAGTGTGGGCCATTACTATAATGGGACAGTTCTGCTTTCAATTATTAAGCCAGTCCACACAAAGATTCAAGTCTGATTGAGAGTTCTAGTTCTTATTGTAAATTAGTAAAGTGACAAACTGATTTCTACAGTGGTGACCTTATTGGCATTTGAATCTCATTTATAAATTAGCATGGAGTCAAAGTTCTCTCTAAAACAAGTCTTGTTCACCCAGTTGCTTTCTGATTTACTGAGCAGGAGAAAGCACTGGTGTCAGGGATGGTTCTTGGAAGTGTGTATCCCTAGGTGGAAAAGGGATGATCCCTAAACCACACCTGTGCATGCATTTTTGTGTACACACACACACACCACTGTCACTGTCTCTCCATATGCAGCACAAAAAAAAAAAAAAAGTTGCCATCGAGTTGAACTCAACTCATGGCAACCCCATGTGTGTCAGACTAGAACTGTGCTTCATAGGGTTTTCAAGGCTGATTTTTTGGAAGCAGATCGACAGGCCTTTCCTCCAGGCACCTCTGAGTGGACTCGAACCTCTAACCTTTTCGTTAACAGTTGAGCAGCTCTTTAACAGTCTGTACCAGCCAGCAACTCAGATGCAGCACCCCCCGTCCCCCCGCCAAAATAAATGGTGGAGTCAATTCCGACTCACAGCAACCCTACAGGACAGAATAGAACTGCTCCACAGGGTTTCCAAGGAGCAGCTGGTGGAGTCAAAGTGCCAACCTTTTGGTTAGCAGCCGTAGTTCTTAACTACTGTGCCACCACACTGAGTAGGTATATAATTTTCAATTAAAAAGACTTAATATTCCCACTGCAAAGAAAGAAAACTGGACAATCATGAAACTTGTAATACTTGACCAACATTTAAGAAAAATAAAAAACTCTTAATCATTGAAACTCTACTTCAGGCAATGAAAGTTACTTCAAAATCTGATGTAAATGGATTAAGGTTCAGCCTTTGCTATAACGAAGTTACATGAGATTGGAAGAAAAACCTGAGACTATATGGAGCCATTTATCTTGCATTTCCTACGTTTTCCGTAATTATCTGCCCGAATGAATGTACCTAAGACTTCATTTCTGTTATAGTATGGAATTGAAACACCTCAGACTCTTAATTTCTCTTATTTCTCCATATCACAGAAAATATTCTAGGAACAGAGTTGAAAATTACCAAGGACTATTGGTCTAAATTCTTATGGGTTTGTTTTCTTTTTTCTTTTGGTTTATCGGTCTAGAAAACTGCTTCGGGGAATTCAGTCATCTCTCCCCCTGCAAATTCATCGCATGAACTGAGATGATAAAGTGTTCCCTCCGAATAGCAACAGCCGAGATTACTCTGCCGCAGTCTAGATTCTTCCTGCCTAAGCACCAGTAGAGAGCTTGTTAGAATGCATTCCCAAGATCCCGAAGTCAATTTCAAAGGCGACTCCTCTCAAAAGTCCCGAAGGAGCCTCGCTCGCGCACCCCACCCTGCTCGCAGCGCACTTCCCGTTCGCTCTGGCCGGTCAAGAACTCTAACCTGACAGTGACACAAACTGAAAAAAGAGGAAGTGGCTAAATGGCCATTTCAAGAAATATTTATTTAATTTTTACAGAAAAGGAGATCGATGGCTGTCTTCCCGGATAGCTTCCATGGGACGTAACCAACCACCACACACTCTGGAAAGTTGCAGCGAATGACAATGTTGCAAAAACGAAGGCGACTCCTTTTTTAAAAATAAAAATGAAGCCCTCGAAATCCTTCTGCTATCAAAAATGATCTAACCCCTGTAGCAAAGGCAACAAAGCTAGCAACTCCCACCCTGGTGGGTCGGATCCCGAAAGCGACGCTCAGGGCCGGGGACGTGCCAGGTCTGCCCTGCCAAGTGGCAGAGGAAGCGCAAGGCGCGGAGGCGGCCACGGGACCCGGCGAGCACCTTCCTTACCTGGTTTGACTGGTTTGGGTGGCGGCTTCGACATCTCGCTTCCTGTACCCGCAAATCCTAAAGACCACGCACAAAAAGCCAACCAAACTTCCCGTCAGCCGGCACTCCAGGCACCCTAAGGTTTCTTTTTGTCTGATTTGCAGCCCTGCGCCTTCAAGGACTTGCGCCCAGTCTTGGTTGTAGGAGACGCGGACGCAGGCGAGACGGATCCGCCGTGCCCTACCCCGCCCCGCGATCGTGGGAGCCGTCCCAAGCGCGGCCCGGCCGACGAGGAAGTGGCCGCCGCCTCGCCGCGCGCTAATTGGCTC